TCTAAGACTAACATCCTGTCTCCAAATCTAACATCGTCAGTCAAATCGCCCTACTCAGAATCCCATATTTGCTACCTTTTCTCGACTGATTCTGTCGAGGATCAACTAAATTTCTCGACTCCTCACTCCTCTCTCTCCATAGCTCGCGGACCTTATCTCTTTACTAACTCTAATCTTGCTAGTCTAACATCGAAACTAACCTTACTACTAAGCTCGCCCCGGCCCAAAACCTCAAGAACGAGCCCTCCCTTGCCTGATCATATTCAGAAACGAGGGAGATATACACTTCCCGTTCTCCATCCCTGCAAAAAAAAAAAAAAAAAAAAAAGCCACCAAAAAATGAAATGAATCTTCTACATAAGTCAGGGTAGGTTCATGCCCGTTTTTCACAGTCTCCTGCCGGGCGCAGCTTCTTTACTAACAACCTCAAAAACTACCTACTAAACTCTAGATCTAACACTACCATTTGATTCGCCTGATTCCCAATCCCCTAGATAGATCCTTTCTTCATCTGATTTCGCTTAGTACGAATGAGTGAGATGTGTGTTTCTGTGTTTCCTCTTCCTTGCCTCCGCCATCTCTCCGCGCGGTTCATCACCCCACTAACTCCCTCCACACTAATTTTCTTCTAAATCTAACATCATATCCGGGGTCGCAGGCCCCCAAAACCCCAGACTTAAAACCTTCCTCGCTCGTTTTCACTCAGAAACAAGCGAGATGCTCGTTTTCCCCTTTTGACATAGCCCCATCGGCCATATCTCCCTGGGGCTCCTTTCTCATGTATCACTTAAACTACTGATCCTCCTTCTAATGTACCCCTACCATCAGCTTCACCCAGGGCCAAAACCCCGGGATCCCCCCTTTCCTCTCTCGATTTCATCAAGAATCGAGAGAGTTATGTTTTTCTCGACGTGACTCCCTCCGCCCGGCTCCGCCATCGCCCAATCCGCTCCCGCATGAACCTGGCAGGACCCTACGTCCGGGTTCTCTCCCCCTTCGTAGGCTAGCTCCAACGGCGGTGTGCGGCCATACCGCACACGGTCCGTCGCATCCGGCCTTCTACGTTGCTCCGCCTCACAACCTTAGCACCTGCCCTTCTTCCTTCTTGTTATCGCCCGTGTCGCAGCGCCTCTCCTTCCTCAGCATGCACTCGGCGCTAATCCCCGTTCAGGTTCGGCCCATTGTTGGTTGGCCCCATCCTCCACTCTCGCGCCTCGCTCGCTGACTTCCTTCGCCTGTCTCAGCGCTATTTTACCCGCTACCCCCTGACGCCGCCCGACTTTGCTCACTTCGACCGTCGGGCGTACTACAGATCTCCTTACACAAGGCGCTGAGATAGCGCCTCCGCATGGCTTCCGCATGAATCGAGGAATGGCTGGGCGCTGCTCCTTGATTTATACTTCGGCAACTCGCTAACTTGCCCTTCTCACTACCGGCCAGCCAACCCCTTAGCGCAGCGAACTTTCCTAGCTGCTCTGGCCTGCCCGAGGGGACTTCGGGAAAGGCCAGCTGCTGGCCGGTTTGATCAGTCCTTCGCCTCTATAGCGCTCAACGCGGTCCTACTCCGCCCGACATCCCGAATCGCTCACCTTCCCTCCACATCGGGCGACGCAACCTGGCTTTCTCAACTGCAATAGTGGCCCTGAGAGGGCTTCGGAGGATTCAACTAGTAATAGGTTCAATTAGTCTTTCGCCCCTATGCCCTATCCGACGAGTGGTGTGCCCAGCAGATACCGCTGCTACCTCCTCCTGCCCACTTCACTCCGGTCGAGCTCGCCACTACCTCAAGTCAGCTTTGGCCAAGTTCCCACCCAGACAGCTGGCCGCGGAACTGAGGGCGCGCCCTACTGCAAGTCCTTGTGCGTGGCCCTGATGAACTGGGCCCGGTACGACCCTCGGCGGTAATAGCAAGATTCAAATGAGAACTCTGACAACCGGAGTGGAGGAAAGCCCCGCGGGCATGCTCACCCCCAACCCCTTCACCGCGGACTGCGTGGGGATGGACGGTGCTCCCACAAAAAAGTCCCACCACTCTAATTCCTTCCGGCCCGTATGCTTAATCACCCGTCGGACGCCTCGGCCCGGCTTTTCCTGACGGGCAGGATAGGGGAATTTTGTCGGCCTCCCGAACGCGCGGAGGTTCGTAAACCAACCAAAAGGAGGCTTGTGCTCAACGTCTTTGACCGTCGCGACGACCCCCAAATCTGGCGTCGCGCCTGAGTCGATAGGTACTAAAGCAAAAATAATAACATAGCAGAATTTAAGTTATTCAGGACTTTTGATCATCAAGATATGACGAACGGGGAAATCGAAAATGTTAGCCCCGTCCTAACGCTGCCGACGGCAAAACCAAGGGGGATGGCCCCGCCGGGCCCTCAATTCCTCGGTCCCTTCGCGCTACTCTGATATTCCCACATTGTCGCCGCCGCTTGGCCTCGATCTTTAAACCCTTTCGACAAAAATCTGATACCGTAACCAATAGCGCAGGGCCCAAGGATGGATCTAGCTCTTGCGGTTGCCTAAATAGATGGACACCGCGCGACGCACCCAGCCTTACCGAGACGCCATCAGAAGTCATATTGTCATTGTTGCCGTCCTCCGCACGTACGCACAGGTCATAGGCAAGCACACTAGTCAACGAGACATAATTTTTTTAATCCCTACTTAATCAGAAGAAAAAAAAAAATTTTGGCCGGCGGTCACGCCGACTCTTCGACCATCAACAAATATGAGGATCACGCGCGCCCACACACTCTCTATTCTAGTCGACCATCCAGGCAACCCAAATCGCAGGCGCAGCCGCGCCTAGCGCGGTATACTTAAAATTTAAACCAAAACTATTTTCTGTTGCTTGCAAAAACCCAGGGCGGATACCCTTGTAAGGGTATTCGCACCGACACCGGTCGTGAAGCTTCCTGAGCTAACCTTTGCTTCTCATAATGCGCGTAGATCAGCGGTACGGATACTTTCAAATCTGCTCCTGAAATCCACCGAGTGTCGTCGCGATCGCAGGCTTTGAATGTAACCTTGTACTGTCGCGGCTTGCTCCCGCACTTGCGATCTGTGATAACGCGGTCAACTTCTTGATGACCATCCATAGAAGGAGGGTCCTGCGATCGTCGGCCCGGAAAGTTGTCGCTCTTAGCTGGCGTGTATGTTGCCAGCTTTGAGGCGTGAAAGACTGGATGGACTGTCAGATGCGGGGGGATGTTGATCACAAATGAAGGGCCATCGGGCTCATCACCCGCGGCTGATGTTACAGGCCATGGTCCAAACCACTTGGGAAGCAGTTTGCGAGAGACATCCTGTTCCAGTGCAAACTCTTCTACGGAGACCCAAACCAGGTCGCCGGCGCGGATGGGACATGGTACGCGATGCCTGTTGGCTTGCTGCTGCATGCGGACTTGAGCCTTTTGCATATTCCCGCGGGCTTGAGCCAGCTATTCCCTGTACTTCCGGACGGAAGCGGGAGAGCAAGCGACATCGATGTCGGCTGGTCGTGGGAGAAGAAGGTCGGCGAAGATATGGCCTTTCCGTCCACCGTGGTGCAACTCGAATGGAGTCACGCCGATCGCCGGGTGCACCGAAGTGTTATAGGCGAAATCGATGTCGGGGAGACGGTCAACCCAATCTTTCTGGTCCGGACGGATGAGCGTACGAAGCATCATTTGAGCGGTTTGATGTGCCTGCTCCGTCTGCCCGTCTGTCTGTGGATGCCGAGCCGAACTTGGCTTCATCTTCGTGCTGGACTCCTGCATGAGTGCAGTCCAAAATGCCGACATGAAACGAGTGTCGCGGTCGCTGACTATGTCTTCCGGTACACCATGGCCGCAAATCCAGCCGGTGTGTAGGAGGCGTGCCAGCTCGGGAGCCGTGGAGTAGTACTTGCAAGGGAGAAAACGYGCGTACTTACTCAATCGGTCCACGACCGTGAGGATSYCGTCGTGTCCGAGGCGGTSGCGGGGGAATGGTCCGGKGACATCYATGGCAATGGAGAGACYGGGTTCCTGCRGGATCGGCATCGRGCGCAGCTCGCCGTAGGGGTTGCGGTTGTGGGGTTTGCTTCGTCGGCAAACTTCGCAAGAGTCGCAATACCTCGTGACATCGGTGATGAGGTCGGGCCATCGGAATCGCTGTCGAAGCCGTGCAATAGTGCGGCTGACTCCGAAATGGCCGGCGAGTCGCGAATCATGATACTCGCCGAGGAGGCGAGTCCGAAGACGGCGGTCGTGGGACACATAGTAAGTCCTTGCCCCGCGAGTGCAGGAGCAAGTACCCCTCGGCGATGCAATAGTGGCTGGCCAGTGGGTGATCCGAAGATAGTTGCGCATATAGCGTGGTGAAATCTGGATCGGACTCGTCGCCCCTGATGAAGTGTCGATGAAGCTCCTCGTCGAATGCAAAGGCATAATGTGTCATAGCGCAAAGATCAGGTCTTCGCGAGAGTGCATTTCTGCGCGATTGGAGAGGCCGGGAAGATATTTCGGTGTGAAGTCAAATTGGTCGATGAAGTACATCCATCGCCCGATCGTGCTGCTCACCGTATCCTGCGTCTTGTAGTAGGTCATTGGATTGTTGTCCGTAACCCATGTGAACCTACGACGGCCAAGGAGGAAGTGCCGCCAACACTTGAGAGCCATGACGAATGCGAGCAACTCCTTCTTCCTTGCATCATCAAGCGAGTTGATGGGAGACACTTTGTGGCTGAAGTACTCCACAGGGTGCCAGTCGTCGCTGTCGTGCTGTTCCAAGACTGCCCCAATGCCATAGCCGAAAGCGTCCGTAGTCACTCTCGTTGGCAGGGTGGGGTCATAGATGCTAAGGACGGGTGCCATGAGCATAGCCGTCTTAAGTGCTTGGAATGACCGGCGTGCGTCGTCATCGAATACGAATGACACCTTTGGCGATTGTAATCTCGTCATAGGTGCAGCAATCCTTGAGTATCCGGTGATGAATCGCTGATAGTAGCCCGCCAATCCCATGAATGAACAAACGTCCGTGGTGTTGGTGGGCTCGGGCCATACTCGTAGGGCCTCGATCTTGTCCGCAAGCGGACGGATGCCTTACAGCGTCACATAATGTCCCAAGTACTCCAGCTCCTGCCGCGCGAATTCGCACTTGTCGCGGTTGGCTTTGTACTTGGCTTGTCGTAGCCGCTCCAGAACGGTGCGTAGGTGTTCCACTTGCTCCTCCAAACTCCGGCTGTACACCAAGATATCGTCGAGGTAGATAAGTACGTATCGATCCAGCATGTGTTGGAACTCCATTGTCATAGCCGCTTGGAAAGTGGCCGGGGCATTCGTAAGGCCAAATGGCATAACCAGCCATTCGAAATGCCCATATCGCGTCTTAAACGCGGTCTTGTAGCGATCCTCCTTTCGAATCTCGAGCTGGTGATATCCCGACTTGAGGTCCAGCTTGGAGAAGAACTTGGCGCCGCCCAGTCGCTCGAGAAGATCGTCGATGCGTGGGAGAGGGCCGACATTTCTGATCGTCTGCGCGTTGAGCTTGCGATAATCGATGCACAACCGCAAATACTTGTTCTTCTTCTGGACAAAGAGAACAGGAGCACCGTATGGCGATGAGCTAGGCCGAATCCAGCCTTCTCCAGAAGGTCGTCGAGTTGTGCCCGAAGCACACTTAACTCTTCCTCGCTCATTCGGTAGATGCAACCGCGCGGAGGTACGGCCCCGTCCTCGAGGATGATCTCGTGGCGGATGGGCCGATCCGGTATTACTCCGTGCGGGCCTTCGAACACGTCGCTGTAGGCGTCAAGAAGTGCGGTGATGCGTGGATCCGAAGATGGGGTGGGAGGGCGTGGAGAAAACACCCCCCCATCTCCTCGATGTCGTCTCTGATGATGGAAGCTCGCATGCTTGCGGCGGATACCACGTGGCAGCTGATCGAAGGATGAGGAAGAGGCACCGTGCATGAGCACGAATGTGAACGGTGCGGTTATAGAAGTTCACCGGGTGATCCTCGCTTCGCAGCCATGACATGCCCAAAATCATATCAAATTGGGTGTCCAGAATGTCAAAGGATACCGCCTCACTTGCGTGAGGGGCAAAGTACACTGGGACGTCATCAATGCACCGATCGATTGACTTGTGCGTGTGACCGTCCGCCAACGTGACTTGCGTGGGTTGGGGATTCCTTCGGACGCGTGGGCCAAGGCCGACACGCACCATGAAGTCCTGGCTGATGTAGTTGCGAGATGCTCCGCAATCGATCAAAGCGCTGCAGGTCACCTCTCCGATCTGAATGCATACATATAGCAATGGTGCATTGATGTCATCGTATTGTTGCGTCTTGAACTCGCGGTCGATCTTCGAAATGTAAGCGTGAAGGTCGACAATCTGTACTCCGGCGTCCATCAACGGAGTCGGTACTGCAGTGTGCAAGTAATCTCGCAGTTGTGCCATGAGCACGTTGCAATGTGGTTTCGGCAATCGTCCGGTCGAGGGAACGGGCATCCATTGGAAGTCTGCGAACGTCAATGGGTCGATCTCTTCAAGTCTTGACCATGACGTCGAATCCCCGACGATAGATGGCGACAAAGCTGCCGAATCGGTTGCTGATGGTGATGAAACCGTGCATGCAGTTGATTGTTGCACGTAGTGCGGTTGGTCCAGCGGTGGAACCAAGTGGACAACATAGTCCTCGTAAGTGTACCGAGAACTTACGACATTCGCATCCTCCTCAGATGTGCAAGAGGCCGCTAGCAAGGCGGCCGAATCTGGCGGAGTTGAAGGTGGAGTCGCCTCACCTCCCGCGAAACTAAGTTTCCCGAGTTGAGACGTGGCCGCACATCCTCCTTGGCCTGATCTTGGCAAAGGGAGGTCTTGTGCTTGGTGTTGTTGCACCAGTAGCAGCAGCCGTAGCGGCCGCGGTACTTGTACTCTCCTCGGTCAAGCTAAACCTGACCCATGGTGTTGGCTGTCCATTTTCGGCCTGCGATGCTGGTTTCGCCTTCCCATTGTTTCGGGACTTGTTGTTGCTTCGCGGCTGGACAACAGCCACCTGATCTCTGTCACGTGATGATGGAGTGGCTACTGGGTCTTCTCCACTGTCCGATTGGACTGCATCGAAGTGCTGCGGTCGCGGACCAGTCTTTACCTTCTCCACATAGGTCGGCTGCCACGTTGACTTCTCGTGTGCAGCTGCCCTGTTGGTCTTTATGATCTCTCTCGCCTTGTCAATGATCTCGGCAAAAGTGGTATACTGCTTGTGATCACCAAGTGTCTGGCTCAGCGCAGCGCATGACTTGTTGTAGAACTCACGGCGTAGATGCGTGAATGGTAAGTCCAGATTGGGCACGGCCGTGATCTTCTGCCATTCCGTGAGCCAGTCACGTGTTGTTGTGTTGCCCTGAGACATGGTGAAGATACGGTTGATGGCGAGTGTTGGTGCGTCGTCGACGATGAACCGCTTCTTCCACAGCCATGTTAACTCTTCCCATAATCCGTGACGTCGACGCCGTGGGTGGCTGCCAGGTGGGTCAACCAGGACTGGCATCCCCCCTTTGAGTTAAGGAATAGGGCGCCGATGTACGCGTGCTTGGCGATAGGCAGAATCCGAAGTTGCGTCGTGAATGCTTCCCACCAGAGGACCGGATCCTGATGTGTGTAGTTGTCGAACTTTTCCCGTTGGAAAGTTGGCATCTTGGACAACTTTGGATTGCCATCCGAGTTCGTCGACTGCAGTTGCTGGACCTCGGTCTTCAACGTGTCCAGCTGGCTGCTGATGGTGGTTGGCGCCGCAAAGGTGCTGATGTCGCCGAGCATTGCCACTACGTGGTTAACGCGTTCCTCCAGTTGGCGGCTAGAGGGTGCACTGCTGGAAGCTCCAGCGTCTGGTCCTGGTACAGCCTGTTCCAGGTCCAGTACACCGGAATTGAGTGCCCGTGTTGCATCCCCGTGGCTCTGCTGCTCTGCACTATCCGGCGGAGGTTCGCCAACTCCTGGTGCTGTGTCTTCAGATCCTGGTACTGTTGTTGCAGTTCCTGGTTCTGTCTCTCTAACTCGGACCGTTGGTAGTTGCAAGCATACAACAACCGTGTCACGAGTTTGGAGAGGAACTCCTTATGCTGCTCTTCCAGTGTTGCGTCGTCGCCGTTCGGTTCAAAGTGCCAGAACTTGAGTCTCTCGATGTTGTTGGCTTCATGCCGCTGCAGCAGATCCTGGGCTTCCTTGCGGCGAGCCTGGGCATCTGCGTCTGCTTCGGCTTGTAGCCGCAGCTTCTCTGCTGTTGCCGCTGCTTCAGCCTGTAGGCGGGCAGCCTCGGCTGGCAGCTGGCGTTGTTCCTCAGCCTCGATGAAAGCGAGCTGAGCCTGGAAGCGCTGTTTGTAGTCGGCAATGGACTCATTGGCCAGTTGGCCTGGCAGGCCCATTGCTGGACCCGTCATGCTGACGTGGCACTGTGACTAACGTGGCACTGTGACTGACGTGGCACTGTTGCTTACGTGGCACTGCTTACGTGGCACTGTGACGTGGCACTGTTGCTTACGTGGCACTGCTGACGTGGCACAGTTGACGTGGCACTGCTGACGTGGCACTGTACCAACTCGGAAATGCATGCAAAGGGTGGGTGGGGAGGGAAAACGCAGGTAGGAAACCAACCCAACAATACTTTCCTCCCGACCCTAATCAACAGATAAAATAAAATAAAAAAATAAAAGAGGACTACTTCTTTTTTTTTTTCTTTTTTTTTTTGTATATCTGTCGATCGGTTATGAGTGAGACATGTCAGAAGAGTACTATGAACGAGTTCCAGGCTAGGTTCCGCAAAGTTTCGGCTTTCACAAAATGCGATATTGAAAAAAAAAATTTGCGAGGTAGAATAGAGATGCAATTTTCAGAAAAGAACTAAATCCCGTTTCTGATAATATGGCAATCTCCGAATATGCCAATCGAAATGTTGGTAGGCTTCGCAAGTTTTCGGTTTTCAAAAAAATTTGCGAGATAGAATGAAAATTCGATTCTCAGAAAAGAATAATTCCAGTTTCTGAGAATATGAGCACTTCTATCGTTATCCCAATATGCTTAGAGAACGAAATACTAACATCAGAAATTTTCAGCTATGTATGCGAAATATCAGAGAAACGAAATGCTACTATTGGGAATTTTCAGACAAAACGAAATGCGATTTATCAGAAATTTTCAGATATTTGTTACGTAAAAACGAAATACTTATATCAAAAATTTTCAGGTAAAACGAAATGCGAATATCAGAAATTTCAGATAGTTGTTGCGATAATTTTTTTTCAGAGATTTGACGAAGTCCTACTTGATTTACTAACGAGTAATCGATAGATCAAGCAAGTTGGCAATTTGATTGAGCGGGTCCTCTGAATGAGAGGTCTGCTTCGATACCAAACTGTTGCATACTGTAACGGTGCAGACCAGAACAAGAACCGACCTCTCAATACAAGGTATAAGATAGCACAGCGGAAGACTTAGATACCAATGATCCGAATAATCAATATTACAATGCAGCCCTGAACATACATCATCATCATCGTTACACGGTGTAAATGGGGTCTGGCGCTTCACACAGGAAGACTGCGTTAGCCCCTACCATAAACAGACGAAGAAGAAGGGGGTTAGACGAAGAGGAGGGGAAGATGGGAATGTCGTCAACACCAAGTCTTCGGCACAGCCCAAATAGTCCCTTGTCGAAATGTCTGAATCCCAAATGTCAAGTCTGGATCCAATGTCGTCAAGTCTCAAGTCGCAACTCTCTCTCTGTAGTAGTCCGATGATACTGAGAAGTCAGGTGGTGAGAGGGGAAGAAGAGATGGTGGACTTAGAAGAAGAGGAAGAAGAACTCTCTCTCTCTCTCTCTCTCTCTCTC